CGGCCGGCGCGATAAATCAGAGCTTCTTTTCCGGATGAGAAAGAAGAGGAGAAAGAAGAAGAAGAAGAAGAAGAGGAGAAGGAGGAGAAAGAGGAGAAGGAAGAAAAAAAGAGCTGTTGACTCCGCGTCATTAAAATTAATGATCGCGTGATCGCTAAACGCGTTTGCGCTCCATCTCTCACATTCTCAAATCCGGTCAAACCGTGGAGCGATAAATCACGAAACACCTGTTCCATAGGGACACCTCTCACCATAAGAGTTACACATTCAATTAAGTTCTTATGCTGAATCGAAGAAAGATTCAATTTAAAACGCGTTCGATTATATTATTACTGCCACTGCTAATACACCAAATTTCACGTTTCCTTCCATTCGCGCTTCCACTTCTTATCTTATCTCTAACTCGTTTTCATCGACTCGGTCGACGGTTCAACTTAAAGCAAAAAAACGAAATCGAGCTGGCCGGCTAACGATAATAGTTCCACGATCCTGGTTAAAAAAAAAAAAAAAGAAAAAAAACGGGCCGACTACATAGGCCTTCGTCTATACCTGTCGAAAACGTTCCTGCCGATCAAATTACCGATGCCCGCGCGCGCGCGCGTGTATACATGTGTCTCTTGCTGAAGGTATATTCTTCGTATCGAGAAAGTGTCTCGGCTCGGCCTATAAATTTGGCCAATTTAATTGGCCGTGGATTTATTATTATGTAGGCAAACGGAACTCGTTATAAATTTCTCGTGACAACCGGAGTATGGGATCGTGATGTCCGATGCTAATGCGCGATTAATTATAATAACTGTGCGATTCTGTGGGAAACACGATTCCCCGGGAATTCGGACGAAAACGTCTCTACTCCTCTCGTGGGCTTCTGGCTAATTTTTGCCAAAGTAAAAGAAAAAAAAGGAAAGAGAAGAGAGGGGAGCACAGGGGATAAACACAGCGAAGATGTTCGAAGATGATCGGAGCACGAATTACTCGGTAATAAGAGAAAGGGAAGGACCCCCTCTCTCTCTCTCTCTCTCTCTCTAAGGAAGCGTTATTAAGCAAAATATTGAATTACGACGAAGAGAGAGCAACGTGGAAAAGATACGGTGCGATATAAGAACGATACAGGGAGGGGTGGGACGATATCGAGTGGGTCCTCTGTCTTGATATAGACCACCATGAGCGAGCTGGGCCCGACCAGTAGGCCTTAAATCGTCCTCGCACCGGGAGGGCAACCGGTACCCCTCGGTACCACCTAAAATATTCTCCGCCTAAGGTATACCGATCGAACGTGTCCACCATCACCTCTCTCTCTCTCTCTCTCTCTC